GTCACTTTGTCCATCACAGGTAACATTCTCATTTTAAGTATTTTTCACACATTTTCAGCATTAAGTGTATGGAGAACTTTGCAGCTTATTTTTCTGCACATTGCCTTAAACGTCAATTTAATACTGCTCTCTATACTGGTGTCTTTAAGAGAAACTTTGGGGAGATTTATGCAGAAGTTTTGCTGAACTCCCTGATAAATAACTCATCAAAGACAAATCGTCAACACCTTTTCCAGCCAGAGAATGGGACACAGACTGACAACCTGATTTTGATGCTCTTTTGACCACACTGCAGCTGTCCTCCACTCATTGCTAGCCTTCACTCCTGTGTGAAGGGACCATCTACAAAGTGCAATACTGACTACAAGAGACAAAACTATTCCCAAAACTGCAGGTGCATCAAAAAAATAAAAATAAAAATCAGAAGGAAAAGTTAATTTTTTCAGTAATTTCATTAAGAAAACTTTCAAATATTCTTTATGTATGACAAATAGACTGAAATATATCAACCATTTGTTTTATTCTTGATGAAAAAAAAATCCAACACCTCAAAATATGAGACTATTACATACGACCAATCAAAACAAAGGAATCCAAAACAAAATATGAGACTATTACATACGACCAATCAAAACAAAGGATTTATAAAACAGGAATGATGATTTTCTGAGAAGTATGTTCATTCAATACTTGTTTGGTGCTCCTTTTGCATGAACTACTGTATCAAACAGCATGACATGAAGACAATCGGTCTGTAGCATTGCTGAGGTGTTATGGAAGCCCAGGTTGCTTTGATAGCGGCCTTCACGATGGGTCTGGTGTCTCTCATCTTCCTCTTGACGATTCCAATGATTCTGAGATCCTACCAGAGTAAATGCACATTCAACACACAACTTTTTGTCAGAGTGGTGGTTCTTCTCTCAAGCTCCGCCTGTTTGCACACACACACACACACACACACACACACACACACACACACACACACACACACACACACACACACACACACACACACACCTGATCGAACACGTTTCTTTGGCTGCATTCTCACACATTTTATCTGAACTGCTGTCTGATGGTGTCTTTACATGGAGTTACATTAAAGATTCTTGATATTCTTATCCTTAGAAAGCCAACCTCGTTAGTGCCTTAGATTCTTTTTTAAAATAACGTCAGTACTGGACGCCAGTCTGTAACTTCATGCATATTCATAATGTGAAGAGGAAGTAAGACAAACTTTAACAGCTTGACTTCTGCCGCCTGATGACCACAGAGGAACATTTGCTGTAGAGACGACATCTCCTCCCTGTTGTAAGTAGAACTATTCAATGATATGCCATTTATTGAAACATGTACAGACCTTCTGTTAATGTGTTTTATTTACTCTGAAGTCACACAGGGATGAGAGGAGCAGCTATGAGTTTGAAAGCAGCAGTGAGTGGATTGGTTATCTTCCTTCTCTCTGTGTCAGGTACTGTATATCCTCACTAAAACTTTCATCACTGAACGTATTTGGATAAGGCTTAAATTGCTTTTAAAATGATAAAAGAGTAGACTCTTTAATGTTCAGGTTTTTTAGATTGAGTGTTAGATATGATGCAAACTGTTAAAGACATGTTTGCTTCTGTTTCTTTCTATAATTAGATTGTTTTGTCTCACTAAGTTTCTAAGTCTTACGATGTGTTTTTAACGTTTTCATACATTCAACATCCGTCTGCATCATTTTTCACAAACAGTGAAGATTTTTGGAGTATTTTACAGTAAGAGAAGTTCTGAATAACTAAAGCTGCAGAATTCAGTAACTTCCAGCTGTAAGAGTCTTTATTTCCTTCATGAGAGAACAAGATAACACCTCCAGAAAACATTTCTTCTAAAATCAGAAATCATTTTTTTAGTTTCTCGTGTGTTTAAAATCAACGAGTTATCAGAACAGCAGTTGTAAAAGTGATCTCCCTCAGCTCTGTAATTGGTCTCATTGTCATTTAAAAAACCTTTCCAAGTGACATCATCTGCAAAAAGTTGCTCTAGAACACACTGCAAAGACTTCAGCCATCGGCCAACCACCCCGTACGTTCTGCACATGCGTGAGGGGCGGCGGTAGCTCGTTGTTATGATACTAGAAGACCATTTTCACACTGCTGTCGGTCGTATTATAGATCGTCTACTAATGGAGAATAATGTCTGATAAAAAGTTTAAATTTGGCACTGGCGTTGTCAGCTCTTGGTCTTTTAGTGGAAAAAGAAAAGAAGAGGCGGAGTAGATGAATAAGAAGAAACTGCACTAATGGGTGAAAGCATGGATACTACAGCGGCATGCTCAAGGTGCTTTCCTGAACCTGAGTCGAAAGCTGGAGATATATGAAACCTCTGAACAGCCAATCAGAGAGATTCCTTCCACCGACCGCCAACGCCGAATCAACAAAAAAAGGGAAACGGGGCCGACGGGTAGCAACAGAGCCGGACACACCTTCTCATTGGTGTGGACGTGAGAAGAAAACACAAACAAAAACAAGTTGACATACAAACAACAGATTACACAAGGAGTTAAAACATGGATAGGACCTACAGGAGACACTAATATTAGACAGACTGATTACAGGTCAGCCAGACTGAATACAAAATAAACACAAGTGCTGTGTGCTGAGGTAGCAGTCTCAATTAAAAAAACAGCTTTCATTACTGATTGAGATATTTTACAGCAACAGGGACAAATTACTTTCTATAAATGTTCTTTTTAGCACGGGGTGTTGTGTTTGTCCTGAAGGCAGCAGCTGAAAGAAATGATTTAAAGAATGGCTGCTTTCCTCTAAAATGTAGACACTCAAACGTTGGACTGCTTTGTCGTGGTGATTGAACTTTGTTGTCTCTCTTTTGACATTAAGATGTATAAATCATATAAATCATGAAACAATGATAAATAAGAGTACACTTTCAATCAGTGATTGTTAAACCCTGTTTAAGGTGCACTGGCTGACTTCAGAGTTCCTAAATTGACTCAGCAGAAAGAGTCTCTGTTGTGTTTTTGTTTGTAAAAACGATCAGTTCTGTGGTCCATATTTGACCTGATTGTGTTTCCTGATGTGCTCTGTGTTTCAGTGGTGAAGGGAGAGGATACCTGGAGAGTGACTCACTCTTCTGCTCAGATCTGTGCCGTCAAAGGATCAACAGTGGAGATACCCTGCACCTACACATACCCATCAACAATAAGACAACAAACTACTGTAGTTCAGAGCAGATTCTGGTTTACTAAAGACAGGTATGAACCTGTAGATGTGAGAACAGACCCAGACTACTCAGGTCGTGTTGAGTATCTTTTTCATGAGAACGTCTGCACTCTGAGAATCAAAAACCTGAGAGAGAGAGACTCAGCTGTTTACAAGTTCATGTTCACAACAAACCAACCAGGAGGAAGTTTAACTGGTGATGAAGGAGTCACTTTGTCCATCACAGGTAACATTCTCATTTTAAGTATTTTCTTCATTTTCAGAGTTAATACTACTGTGAATCTTTTTGTTTTTGTTTATTTTAATGTTCTAACTTTCTTCACATGTTCAGACCTTCAGGTGCAGGTGGAAAGAAAAAGGAATCATAGAGCTGAAGTGTTACAGCAGCTGTAATGTGGCTGATAATCCTTCATATGTCTGGTACAGAAATGGAAAAAAATGACTGCAGAGACGTCTTCTATTAGAGTCTCTGTTCATGAGAATAACAAGTATTCCTGCTCTGTTAAAGGACGAGAGGATTACCGCTCTCCTGAAGTCTGTAAGTTTACTCCACAGTGTTTGACTTTACGTTTTATAACCTGTTAACTCTTCCTCATTTTAACGTTTAAAAAGTTTGACCTGACATTGATTTTCAAAGTAAATGAAAAGTGTTTTCTCCTCCAGATGCTCCAAAGCTTCCCTCTGTGTCAGTGAGTCCCTCTGCTGAGATAGTGGAGGGCAGTTCAGTGACTCTGACCTGTAGCAGTGACGCTAACCCAGCAGCTACTTTTAAATGGTACAAGAGAAATCAGACCCCTCAATACCTTCGTGAAGGAGCACAGCTGGTCTTCAACTACATTCACCCCTCGGCCTCTGGAGAGTATTACTGTGAATCTGAGAACAAGCTGGGGAGGAAGAGGTCTGGATACGTCTCTATCAATATGAAATGTGAGTGAAACAGCAGAAATGTTCTTGAAGATATTATGTGTAAAGAAGAAACTCTCACCTACAAGTAAACACACTACTATAGTCTCTTTGACAGATTCAAGTTAAAGGACCAGTGTGTGAGATTTAATCAGGACTTTAATGTGACGATTTAAAATATTTTTACTTGAGTTTAATTACTTTAAAAGTTTGTAATGTTAATGATTGTTTATGTCTGCACTTCACAAAGTTCACAATGCTTCACATGTTTCTATAATAAACCAGAAGACTCAGAACAAACGGCTGCTTTAGAGCGGGCCTTCAGTCTACTGAAGCCGGGCGACTCTGAGCCATTTCAGGACGATTTCATCAAAACCTTTGAGTCGACTGATTTTTCATTCTGCCTGATCTCCCGTTGTTAGTTGTGCAGTGTACACTGAGGCTCGACAGCCTATCATTGTCTGATCAGCTGCTTCAGACTGGTCGGATGATTTTCTGGCACGTTTGATATTTTGGTTGTACGACTGCCCACACTCACATAGCAGAGCCATGCGCAGATCCCACGACTTCAGGACTTTTCCCCCCTGATTGTGTCTGCGCAAACTGACAGAAAACATCCTAAATCACCATGGCAACAGTAGACACGCCTGTTTAATCCAAAAGAAACGATGGCAGGAAATATCTGCAGACCTCCAGCTGAGAGGGAACACTTGTTATTATTTAGCTGCTAGTTAGTGTGTGTGTGTGTGTGTTTGAGAGAAAGTGTTTTTTGGGCATGTGTGTATTTGAGTCGTGCATATGAGACAGATCTATTGATGATGGTGAATGCTCTGTCCTGATTTCACTCGTACAGTGTGAGTCGACATTCCTCCATGAATTTCAAACAATCGTACAGAGTACGCTGAGCTTTAATGATTGTTGTAAACTCTGCAGGTGAAGAGGGGAGCATCGAGGGAGGGGTTGTCAGCTGGTTTCAATCTGCACCCTCAGCACTTTATTCCACTTCATTCTTCTTTGGTCACTTCAGTTATATTTCTATTCTTCTCTCCTCAAGATGCTCCATCAGTTTGTTCAGCGTCTGTGAGTCCTGCTGGTGAAATCAGAGAGAACAGTAGAGTGACTGTGACCTGTAGCTGTGATGCTAACCCAGCACCTGAATACACCTGGTACAACGTGAACGGTCATGAACTCAGTAAAGAATCAGAGCTCGTCTTCAGCTCAGTTCAGTCCTCTGACTCTGGAAGGTATTACTGTAAAGCTAAGAATGATCTGGGAGAGAGGACATCTGGATACGTCAAAGTTGAAGTGAAATGTGAGTGAAAAACATTTTCTTTGAAAAGCAACATTGAGCTGATTTCTCATTTGAAGGTTTAATTTGCTGATCATATCTGCTTCCTCTAGCTCTACTTCACACTCACAGTCTGCAGCTAAAGCCCACTGAGCACTGACAACTAATGGTTAAAAGACACATCTTTAATTTGAATTTAAATGTTGAATATAGCTGGAGTAGAGCGTTAGTTATATAATACATGTTAGCAGTGTGAGATTGTCTGTACCAACGTCTCCTCACAGCACGTGACCGAGTGAGCGTCTGAAGAGTTTCTTAAATTTGTTCCAAAGAAAAACCTTCGACTGATTTGTGACGTGTTCTTAAACAACAGAACTGTTCACACCTCATCGCTCAACAGAGCTTGTTATTAGCTAGTTATTTTGCAAAGTGGAGATAGTGATGCGTTGATATTTTGTGATTGACATGTTGAGCTTTGACTTTTGATAACATGGAGGCAAAACTTTATTCTGCTCGCCTCCATCAAAGGCTTGTATTAAAGCAACACCGTTCTGTTTGTTCACCTTCAAAATAAAAGCACTAGATGTTATACTGTTTACAAAAGGAAACTGAAATTCACAGAGCAGAGAAATAAACATTTAATGGATCCAGTGTGGACAAGAAGCGTTCAATGCTTCGCCATGCGACATCATATCTAACATCTGATGCTGTGAGGACACGCTGTGATGTGTAATGCAGAACAAAGTCTGAACCGAGAACAAGAGGAGTCCTGAAGGGAAGAGAGGAGAATACAGCAGCGTAACATACTTGTCCTGGGGCCCCGGTACAGATATATTTATTTTTGGGGTCCTCTGCTTTGAACCAAACAGATGAGCACGCTGGTTTGCACTAACCTGCACGGACACACACAACCATTCCAGACAATTCCACAACAGACGATTAATGTCACCATGTGGAAAAACACCATGAAACTGTCATTCAAACCAGCCTCTGATCAGCACCACGGACAGCAGCCGGAGAGACACATTTATCCATGCTGAACTAACAACCAGTGACAGCTGGTCAGTAGAGGGGCTGGGCCAAAAGGGGGGCAGCAGATACATCCCTAAAACTGAGACAACAAAGAGAGAGTCATCAGTAGTTTTGTCTTAGTGAGAATAGATTGTTTGAATTGATCCACTTGTTTTAATGTGCTTCATGTTCTTATACTCAGTGTTTTTATGAGATGTCTTGACTGTGATTGTAGCTGCTGGAACAGAGTCACTTAAAGGAATCATTAATTATCTATATATTAAAACAGGCTCATTCTTATCCCCTTTTCTGTTCATGTGATATGTCTCTAATATCATTTCAGTTTATTCATCTTGACAATTCAAACATTTTAATGTTGAGAAATTAAAACAGATGTTTTCTCCTCCAGATGCTCCAAAGCTTCCCTCTGTGTCAGTGAGTCCCTCTGCTGAGATAGTGGAGGGCAGTTCAGTGACTCTGACCTGTAGCAGTGATGCTAACCCAGCAGCTAATTACACCTGGTTCAAGGAGGATGAAGACTCACCAACAGCTTCAGGACAGATCTTCACCATCTCTAACTTCAGTGCTGATCACAGTGGGAGATATTACTGTGAAGCTCAGAACACAAGAGGACGTCATAACTCCACCTTACATCTGCTTGTTGTGACAGGTAAGTTATTAACATTCACCTGCACCAGACCAGATTCACCTATTAGAAAGTAGTACAAAAAAGGAAAATTCAGAAAGGAACCTCCATCTTGTCAGAGTGTGACTGAATGATGAACAGAGGGTATCACTAAGTAGAAATGAAATGTTTCAATCTAATCCTACCAGTAAAGAGTCTCACATATCTATCTTTAATTCTCAGGGAACTCAACATTCATAATACATATCATCAAGTGGACTCTGCTGCTCTTGATGTTGATTTCTCTGTTTCTCCTGACTCTGTGGACGAGGTAACAATCATTAATATTAATCTGTCATCTCACATCTCTTTTGTTTTATCCCTCAAACTAATTTTAAATTGATTTTTCATGACCTTCATTTTTGGATGTTGTTTTTCTGATTTAATCCAGAAAGAAGAAAACTCTGAACTCCACCACCTGAACCAAATGAACCGCAGAGATGATCGAGGTGTGAGAGAGAGAGAGAGAGA